AATCTTAAAATAAAATTAATATAATTTATATATCATTCATTTCTTAATCGTAAATATTATTTCAACTATATCATTATCACATTATGCTATTATTTTTTAAAATGTATCTTTTCACCGTTACAAAACTAATGATAAAGATTGGTATTTGGTATTCCTTGAAAAACATATGGTAAATCATTTAACCATATTTAATATGAAATAGGGGAATGAATCATAAAATATTTAACATTTTGTTTAGCATTTATTAATTTAATTATTTTTATTTGTTAATCTCTTCACTATGAAATATAAATATTATATGACTGATACAGCGTTTACCTGAGCTCTCAGTTATTTAAATACTATGAGCTTAGTTATTACCTTCGTATCACAGAAGTTTTTACATGTTGCCTAATCAACATTTTTATGGTATGTTAAGTATTAGCTAAATCCTGTAGCATAAAATACATTAAATAACTCACTATTTAGTAAAATCGTGGTTTATTAAAACTATAATACGTCCAACGTCATATATAACGTTATACTTGCCTGGGGCAACGCCAGCATGGGAATTAGCAAATAAAAATGGAACACAATATATTATTTTTTGCTATAAATGATTTTTGGTATGCCTCCTACTGATAAACCAAGGCGGCACTTGCTGTAATTTATTATTAATGTAATAAATTATTACAACATTAAAGAGGTTAATATTGAAAATCAATGTAAAGGTTTAAGTAATCATTAAAAAATAAAAATCTATTAGATCTAAGGTCAGCGTATTTTATGACTTGACAATTTATCTGTTAAAATTGTTCCAAATAATCAACAATATTTAAATCCAAAATTCTTCAAGACACTATGTCACTATCACTCTCGTAATAAATATTCACCTTAACTGAAAGTGCGAAGTTAAATTATTCAAATTAATATTAAAAGATTCGCATCAACTTTAAAATGCTTAATACGCAAAGATGAATACAACTTATAAGCTATTTAACGAACATTCTATAGAATTAATAATTCTATATAGCTACTAACTATCACACAAATATCTAATTTTATAGCCAATTAAAAAAAAAACAAAATAATTAGCAACGGAATTATATAAAAATGATTTATAAAAAATTACAATATGCATTTATTTTACATCTTTAAAACTCATAATTCACGTAATTTCCAAATTTCATAGTCAATTATTATGGCTCGTCTGTAATGGATGCATAATAATTTAGATAGTTCGATGTATTCTGGAAAGCAGTTGTTCTGATAGAAAAACTCATACAACAAAAATGAACGGTGTTCAAACATCAATTACAACTGTTAGATATCGTTATGAGAGTAATATAGTGTAATTGTAATAATAAGAAATGATGAAATTATGAAATGTGCCGCTGGTATTTTGTGTATACAAAAATGGTTAGTTAATTGACGACGACCGAAAGGTACTTAGTAGTATAAAGGTTAAAATTCGACAAAAATATCTCTTCAATCTTCAGANCTTAGTAGTATAAAGGTTAAAATTCGACAAAAATATCTCTTCAATCTTCAGATATGCAATTCATACTGTACTGAATCAATTTTTCTCTAGAAGTTATTTTATGTGATGACAATTTTATATACTTACAAGGTGAGAAATAAACTTTATGCAGTAGGTATGTGATAACATTTTGTGTTCATTGCAGAATTGTTTTGACGCTTAAAGCATCGATTGGCAAAATTATAGACAATTAATAACGAGTAATATTTAGATGTTTATATGTATAATCATATTAATTGACTGAATCCAAGGTTTTAGCGTGCCCTACAAATAGTAATAGGCTTGAATATACAAAAATAACGAATTGCGTCGTTGGCTACAATTTTTTCCATTACAGTCTGAATTTTGGTTAACAGCCGCAGTTGAAATCGTCTCTGTAATACTATTTCTACAGAAAACTTTGAGTAATAGCAAGACTGTACATACTTGCAGCCAAATTCATCGACCTCTGAGCTATTGTCGCGGTGTATTTACGTACAAGTCAAAATATTGCGCAAGTAAGTTAATCGATAAATCTACTCAGACTAGAGATGTCTATAAGACTGTTAAGCTTGTATAAAACGTTGATAGTAATAATTATTGTTGTTAAATCGATTAATTAATGAAAAACAGATCACTCTTTCTAACGGAGCTAAATTTGGCACACGGGCAGCGCTCATAAGAATTTTACAATGTACACATTACTAGCACAATGATTTTAAATTTATCACCCGTGTGAGTTAAGATAAATTTTTATTGTCACAATCTTGAATTTTGAGGTTAATTAATTTTTTTATACAAGTTAATTTTAACACACAATTTGAGTAAATAAGCAAAAATAGTATTTATTTACAGACTTACACACTTAAAAAATTACCGACTAGAATACTCTTTAAATTTACTCAAGTTCAATTAGTATGCCTCTACAAATGTCAAACGGAGCTTAAAAAAATAACACTTAAGTCGTAAATAAATCTCGTTTAACTAAAATGCAATGCTTATAACCAACAGAGAATATCTGATTATAGATCTTATTTTATTTGTATTAAAAAATTTTCAATTTACAAAGTGAAAATGTTTTACGCGCATATACCTGTTTATATAAGGGACTTAATAAATATCCAAATTATAAATATCCAAATTATACAGTGCAAGCAAAAAATATAAGATGTATGATATTGATTGATTTAGAGAAATTTTTAATAGTAAACTTCGCATAAACCGTTTATCATTAGTCAATATAATTTAATTTAAGTTGAAATAGGTACTTAATGAAAGTATTGACAATATTTAAAAAATACCAAAATACATATAGTGAGTTTTAAGATTACTTAATAAACAGTCTTATAACTCAAAAAGTAAAAATAAAAAATAAATTAATAAATAGTATTTATTCATTATTTTATTAAATTCAGTATAGTACTTAAAAGTTTTTGTGATGTAAGTGTTAATTCCCAAAAAAACTTTCACTATTTTTTTTTTCAAACTAAATAATTTCAACGAGTTAATTTTACTTAATACAAAAGTCGTTAACTTTATCATAGGCTTGTAATTATTGAGCCAGTATTCAACATATTAAAGTGTATATAATTTTTGGATCTTAACTTTTTTGTCGTTAAAAATAGTAAATCAAAGTGATAAGTATATGTAATATGAAATTTAGTACAAGGTTACATTAATTACGACGATCGAAGATATTTTTTTATTTTAATAAGAATAGTATAAATTATTTAAATAACTCGAATGCTCGTTTACTTGTTTTGTTACAGATTTAATAATGTTAAAACTTATCCAGTGTTAATAATATTATAATTTTCGATAATAATATGGATCTGCATTTGTCATTAGTATCTGACCGGTTTAATAAATAATCAAATTAAACCCGTTGAAAAATACTTTGTACAATTTTTGGAATAAAAAATGTACGTAACAAAAAAAGTTACCATAATATCACATACTGCTACAAAATAACTTCCTTAACACAGTATAAACATAAATCACTAGAAATATGTCCATTTCAAAGTGATATACAGGCTAGCTTTTAACTGGTTAACTAAAATTTATTACGAAAAGCAAAAGATAAAAAAATAGTTACATCCGTAACAAAGCATTACAACCTATCCCGTTAATGATAAAAAACATTCATAACTTAAAAAATGTATCATGTATATTTGATATATTTATATATAAATATCCTATACAATTAGAAGCAAGTCATAGTAAAAAAATATGTTTTGTATAAAACTTTGTTGTGATTGATACAAAATATTGCATACATAAATAAGTGAAATATTTTTTACATAATAAATTTCACCTTATATAGATAAATAAAAATATAGTTACTTATTGCAAAATTATGAGAAAAATGTTATTTTGTTTAAATAATTTTTATTCATACTAGTTTAAATTATATTTTTCAATTTAGATGTTTTAATATCTATATAATTAAATTTTTGTTCTTAAATCAGATAATTCACATAATACAAACATTAGAATTCAAATTTTGATTTAAAAAACAAATAATCTACTTACAAATTTAATTCATAAAATCATTTTACTAACTAAAATGATTTTAACTAATAATTTTTATCTTTAATTATAGGCGTTACTAATTGATACCGTTAAGTTAAAAAACACGACATAGGTTTTATATCTAAATCAATACTGTTTTCTTTAAATTAACTGGAGATTTTAGGTTTGAATGTTTTCGTGGTAATCATTATTTTTCGTGAAAGTTATGTGACGAGTGTATAGAGCGAGCAAAAAACAAACTACCTAGCTCGACTGAACGATTACAATGCAAAAAAACGGATAATTACCTCACTTAAAACGTTTTTTATATAAGAATAAAAAGCACTAAACAATATATTGAATCAAAATATTAAAATATTCGAAAAACTATGCATTGTTTAACATATCCGTTTTTTCGCTTAAACGATTCTCATTAAATGTATTCTTTATTTTTTTGGAGACCAATTATTAGGCTTATCAATAAATCTAATTANACTACCTAGCTCGACTGAACGATTACAATGCAAAAAAACGGATAATTACCTCACTTAAAACGTTTTTTATATAAGAATAAAAAACACTAAACAATATATCGAATCAAAATATTAAAATATTCCAAGAACTGTGCATTGTTTAAAATATCCGTTTTTCGCTTAAACGATTCTCATTAAATGTATTCTTTATTTTTTTGGAGACCAATTATTAGGCTTATCAATAAATCTAATTATTAATATTTGTAAACAATTATAATACAAATAACGTTTTTAACATAAAACCAATTAAAACATCTCGCTTGTTAAAAAAAAAAAATTAAACACCATAATATAACGCGTTTATCTCAAATTTTTGGAGCCTACAATACTAATGTATTTTAATTATTAATTAACAGAGTCAAAACATCAAAACTACTATAAATAATTTGTCACTTTTTTGATGATGATTAGTCTGATATGAATAACATATGGAACTTACGAGCTGAGATGGTGATGAAAAAATAGCAGAGGACTAGCAGCAAGGCCACCCATCGACGCATCGGAATGGAGGCCATTAAGCTTTTATCATTGAATCCGATAGCAATAGTGACGACTTGACATTTACTCGACGAGAAAAATACTAAATTATTTGATTAATAAAAAACAACGGCTGCAATCATTTATCCAGAGATGGACGCAGTGCTCGAATTTGGTTTCTGTGTGTACAGCGCGGGCGGTATACACGAACTAAACCGCATAAACAAAACAGCTGGACCCGGAGGTTCGGAGCGTCTGAGAGAAAGCCAGCGGCGCGGTAATAATGCGCTGCCCGGTTTATCTTTGCTATAGGTGTGCGATAGTGAAAGTACAGTCGTTATTTTATTAAGCAGCTTGATCGTATGGTATGGGTTTATGGTTGCTGTCCCCGCCGCCACGACCTAAAACAAGGACGTCGGTCGCTACAGCTCATTAAATGACCGCGGCTCCGGTGTGTCATCATACATTCATTCCATATGCATCGGGCATGCCGTTACAAAATGGACTGCAATGAAAATTTGATTACATAAATTGAATGGCATTAGTGAAAAACCTAGATAGCAATATAGTAATATTGAAGTTATTAAAATGTTTCATTTAGGTTAATTTTAAATATTTAGATTAAAATAGTATAATGGCATAAAAGTATCATTAAAAATAAATTGAAGTATTTTGTTAATACTTTAGTTTGGTTAAAATTGTAATATTACAAAATTAATTAATAAATAATATGTTTAAATTGTTTTAAGTTCAATTTAACAAAATATTATGATTTAAATATGTTTTTATTGCTTTGATTTAATTATGACTATAATATTTAAAATTTAATCTTTGTAAAATTTTCTAGGAATATTACTAAGGTAATTTGGAGGACTATTTTATAAAAAAAAAAGTTTAGTGGGGTCGCAGCACAGTGTTGACATGACATAGTTAGGACAAGTATAGATGATAATTACTTAATTTAAATCACTGGCATAAGAAACGCTTCGCTACAAATATCTAGTGTTTTATTTTAAAAAGATGGTGAATACTAAAAGCAAAATTAATTCATATTTCTATCATTATCCCTGATTAGTAGTTCTTTGATTTAGAAGTGTAATATATGAATAAATATTTATTAAAGTAATTAAATATAGAACGAAATTGATATTTAATAATTTAGTATTGTAACTTTTACGGAGAAATTGTAAAAAAATGTGTAATACTTTCAGAAAATAATTTGTTGTTAATTATGAATTAAAGGTTTTACAAGGAATTTTCATCAGATTCAAAAATAAACTTTTATTTTATAATTTTTCGTGCTAATTTCAAATCTGCAAGTAAATTATTCTATCATCACTAACTTTTGATATTGTTACTAATTAGTTAAAAAATATAGGATGTAACTTTAAAGAATATAGTTCTGAATATTTCAATTCTATCTATTTAAATACCAAGAGTTTCATAGATATGATTAATATTCCTATTGAAATATTTATTATAATATAAATAAAAAAAAGAAATATATTATGAAATATTAATTATATAAGTTTTTGACCATATATAATCTAAACAAAACCATTTTTGAAATCTTCATAAAATATTGTATTTAATTATATCAATTTTAAACTTGCAAGTTTAACTAATAATATGGTTATTAATAATAAGGTACAATTATAAACTTTTTTTTTCAACTAAAAAATTAACTTTAGAGGACTAAAAAAAATTAGTAAAACATGATATTTTGAATCGAAATTTTGTACGGATTAATTTTATTATATTGGAAATAAAAATCAAATTTTAAATGTACACACTCGTATTTATAAAATAGTAATAATGTCAAAAAAAGAGACGATGAAAAAAATCTAATGACAGTTATTCAATCAAAATGAAAATTAAATTTTGAATTTGTTTCCACCTCAAAAAAAATATATAAATCCATTCAACTAACGGATTCGAACATCATACCCCGAGCGTGAAACACTGAAGTGTGACCGACACGACAACTGTACATTTCACATGATAGTAGATGTAAAAAATACCATTGGAAACAGTGAGAAATGAGAAATGTGAAAAGTGAAAGGCACAATCGAGCGTCGGCGGCATATTAATCCAACGAAATACAACTATAGTTATATGATGTGTATGTTTATCACTATAGAAGTTTCGCCTCCCTTGACTAATGTATGTATTATATAAGTAGACCAATGGTTTACCCCTTCATTAAAGGGAAGGCGATGTGTAACCTTATTTAATTAAAGAGAAGATATTTATATGTTAGAAGTAACCATAATATTTTATCAAATTCTTTTTGATTATTCAGTTAAATTACTGCGTTTGTTAATAGACATTATTTGTTAATTTGTGTAGTATCACATTTTCAAAATTCAACTACCCTCTTACGCATTCCATAAAACGCTCACATAAAAGATTGTATCATATTGACTAATCAAATAAAACAAAAAATATAAGATTCGTAGAATTCGATTAGAATCGTAGTTAAAGTCTAAGCTATCGAGGCTGTTGCGAACCCGAATCATACGACTTTTGGGTTCATTAAAACTATATGACTGACTGTGGAATGACTCATAAAAAATAGTTTTTGATCTCATATAAAAAGTTGGAATTGGCAAACCAATTTTTTCAAGTATTTCGGGACATTGAACATTATTATTTAAAATTTTGAGAATAAAAGATGCATCATTAAATTTACGTCTGGAAGAGAGTGAGTATAGACTTAACTTCATTGTGTGATTGTGTCACGTTTTCATTATTGTGAGAATTTATTATAATAAAATACAGACATCACATCCACTTCCTGAGACTGATGAATTAACAATTAACATTTATAACTAAATTGGCAATAGTCCAAATTATTATAAAAACCCAAAAGACCTAACCATCTTGTTGGTCAGTCGACTCCAATGCCTTGTGTCATTCATCAGTCTGAGTACTCATTTGTCACTGTCCGGCATAAAGTCAAGTCTTTGTTTTTTTCTTTTTCACCTACCTACTTTCGTTCTCAACATTTCAGAGAACTCGTGTCTTGCACTTTATCTGCACCTCATACCAAGGTGTTACTCTTATTCCCTTCCTATAACAACAGCCTTTCGACACCCACAGTTAACCCGGAGTATCAGCCGAGCACGGTAACTGATGTATGATTACACGCACGTGAGTACCCAGTCAGCAGATTCAACATCATCGTCATATACACATACACACCATCTTCGTCATTATTATCCCTCTTTTCTTTTATTTGTGTTACGACAGATGGCACCCAACAAAGGTAACATTTATATATTACGTTAGGGTTGTTGTTATAGATAAAAAAAAAAATTATAAAAAAAAATGTATTAAACCAATTTATTCAACTCTTGATGGCCAAAAAAGAAAGCATAAAATCACTCATCGTGCTTAATCTAACAACGTTAGAAGACAACGAACGTTTATCTTACAAGACAGGTTGGGCACATAAGCTGAATACAGACGAAGCTATAACTGAACTAAATAAAAGAAAACTAACCACTATCGGTACTCTAGAGCAAAAGAGAGACCGCTTGGTTAGGTATATAAAAGGTCAGTGGTTACCGAAAGATTTCTCTGTAGATCTTATCGAGTCTTTTACCGTATTACACACCAAAAACATGAATAGTGATGACAACAAGAACCGTAGGAAGCCATTCTTTATGCCAGGTCAGTTTAGGGGAGAAATTCACAAAAACATAGACTTGTTTCTTAAACGATATTTTTTTAATGGATCGATGCTCAAAAAGTTCAATTCTTACCAGTCTTTTTGGAAGGTACGGCGTTACACTTCTTTGAAAATCTAAAAGACAACACCGTCGGCCAAATCAAGTGGGCAGATTTGATATATAAAAGAAGGTTGGAATTTGAACCAACAGCTCAAACGGGCATGTTAATAATGATTTTACAAAAACGCCATCAACAACTGGACGAATCCGTAAGCTCTTACTTAAGTGAAGCTGAAGCTTTATGCTTACGAATAAACAAGGACATGTTACAAAAAGATAAAGTATGAAGGGATTACGCCCCGACATTTTAAGAATGGTATCTATGTTGGACAATGATACCTTGGACAGACTAAAAAAGAATATAAAAAAATGGGAGACTACAAAATTTCTAATAGAAGGCGATAAAATATTTCAACAGATCGAACTCCAATACAACAAAATTACTTTAAGTCGATTCTCTCCGAACTAAAGTCTAGACGAGACAATGGTGAAAATGATCTTATTATAAAATATTTAAACAATATCCCTACTATCTCAAAAAACTAACAAAGCAGTGCGCATCACTGAAACGTTTATCCATATACTACCAAAATGTCCGAAGCATTAATACGAATCTAAATACAATTCATAAGAACGCTGCTTTTTTCGATATGTCATTATTGTACTATCTGAAACCTGGTTATCTACTTCTATTAATAACGCTGAGCTTGGCCTCAATAACAAATACTCAATCTACCGATGCGATCGTTGCGATGTACACGGAGAGAGTATACAAGGTGGTGGTGTACTGATAGCAATCAATAAACGGTTTACGAGTCATCGAATCTATCAAAAAAATATTTCAATTGAACAATTGTTTGTAAAAATTAATTTTAAGCTTTATTCACTATATGTATGCGCTATTTTATATACCTCCAAATTCAGATTTACATGTTTATAATTTGCATATTGCCTCTAAGATGCTGTTTTGTGCGATCATTATAGCTCTAAATTTTTAGCACTAGGTGATTATAATCTTTCTGGAATTAATTGGAAATTTGTTGGTAATAAAATCAAGCCGCAATTATTTCCTCTACTAATTCAAACATTTTATCTTGTTTATCTCGCTCTAACAAACGCAATATAATTTAATTCATAATCGAGTAGGCTCTCTACTTGATCTTGTATTTTATAATGTACATAATATTAATGTTTCACCTGGCATTTACCTACTCGTACCTTAAGATTATAACTACCATCCAGCCTTAAATATAAGTTTTCCCGTTGAATCAATCGAATACATTGATTATAAAGAACAGATTTATGATTTTAGGCACTGCGACAATAATTATATTAGAAAACGTATAGCTACAGTCGATTAGAATAGTACTTTCAATAATTTATGTATAAATAAAGCAATTGATAGTTTTTACTCAAATATTTACGAAATTATAGATTCTACTTGCCCAAAAATATTTAATTTTTTTTTGTAATTATCTGTCATGGTTTACCTCTACATTAAAAAAATTAATATTCTCAAAAAACATTTAAGCAGTTCCCCAGCAGTTATAATTACAATATAATATA